GCTACTTTTTTCCTTCCATCAGCATGTCTGTTACTAACCTTTTCTACTGAAATGGAGTGTTGTGATTATATTAAATCGATTGTTAGGTTTACTTCTAAGAAGGTTGATTCAGTTTGTCGTAACAGATCATTTTGCTACTCAGAATCCATTTGGCACATTCATAAATCTAACATTCATTCGTGCATTTAATTCTGCTGCCATAGCTGATCTTGTGCTTCTGCTGTTCATCTTAAAATTCTTGACAAAATCCAAAGAATTTCTGTAACGTAATCGATCCTGGTGTGGCTTCTCTCTCTCTTTTTCTATAAATATTTTCATGTTAGTTCTTCTAACGAGTTCTACTCCTTGGCACTTTGACTGCGCGAATTTAAGTGAACTACTAGATTGGTAACTAGGTCCCAACGCTCTACTGTTTGAAGAGCTAGATGTAACCATAAGTTCTATTTTAACTGTTTCTTCTTCTCGCACTTCACACCTGTGGAACTCTCTTTCTTCCCCCTACTTTCGTGTCACCATTCTTCGTTAGTTTTCCATGTTTTTCGTCTTTTATTCGTTTTTTCTTCATTTTTTTCTAAAGCTGGTTTTGCTTTCACTCTTTCTCATATTTTATCTTTCTTTTCTTTCTTTTTCCTTCTACTTTCTCTTCTTATTCGCTTTCTTGATTTCTTTCTTTTTGCCTTACTTAAAACACTTTTCCCTTCTTCGTTTTACTATAATTTTTTCTTGCATTCATTCATTTTGATCTCCTTCTCTTTCTTTCTTTCATTCTTTCTTTCAACTTGTTACATTTTTACGATCTAAATGCCACATCTTCTACTCTATACACTGCATTCGGTGCTTATTCGATCAACCCTCCCCCGCCCTTTGGTCAATCACGCAAAATACACACATCTCCATCCTCCAACCTCAATGCTCTCTTGGCTAAAGTCTCATTCATTGCCGTTAACCACCTGCTGATTGCCAGTGTTTACAGGTGACTAACACGCACAAAGATTGGCCTACGGGTCACACGGTGACCTTTTCACATATATCATTGTCAAAACGACCGGCTATCTCCGTCAAAAATTTCTTGTGGATTAAACATTAGCGTTTCAAACGTACTCATTTCTTCTGGTGCCTCTGGTGCAAGTTTTCCTCTACTCCAGGGACCCAACGGCCTCTCTTCCTTTCCACTGACTCCAGTTGTAATTCGCATGCAAGAAATGCAATGTTTTGAATGGTTTTCACTTATTCATATTTTGCATTTGAGCGAAAGAAAAACGGCTTCGATCAAATAATAAGCTAAATCTTGATATTTACAGAGTCTAGCACAAGGCGAATGGAGTGATTTGGTAGTTGGAAATTTCTTTTGTTTGAGAGATCGATCAGGGTAATTAGTTATTTCTTGAAAATCAGCTTTCGAAATCGTAGCATCTGCGTAGGTTTGAAGGCCGGCATTTTGACACAAATATGGAATTTAAAGAAGGTCAAATAAGAGGAAATGGAATCGATTTGGTGATTCAAAATTGCTATTTATTAAAAAAAAAAAAAAAAAAAAGGTTTCCTTTCTTTTAAGTC